TACCTGATAACCAGGGACGCTGATCTCTCTGCAAGTGGCCGGAGCCAGCCGTGAGATGACGGCTGGCTCCGCCCAGCTGTCAGAGGCAGGCTGTCGGCCGGCCAATGGCCAGCTGTTCGGCCAGCTTCGGCTTTCACCTCGGCTCAGTCGAGCCGAGGCATATGCCTTCGGCTCAACTGAGCCGCTCGGACAACTTTGGGAGCTGTATGGGCTATAGTGAATAGCCCGTACAGCAGCCCTTCGGTTTTACTGAACCAAAGGGGTCCTGGGGCCGAAGCTAGCCAAAGGATCAGCCGAAGCTATGGCTAGATCCTTCAGCAGCTTAGTGAATAGACCCCATTATGTTCACCTGGTGATCCTGCCAGTAACACATTTCCTGTGATAGAGTGACAATGTTTACTCACTGTACTGTATCTATGTGTTGTATTCGCAGTAGGCTGTTTTCCTGATTTGGTCTACAAACACTTCTACCCTCTCCTCATCTCCATAATATGAAGGAGAATTTGTGAGAGCTGATAACATTGTTTGAGATTTCAGTTGATTGTGCAGGAGGTTACAACAGGTATTGTCTGTACTGTGAGAAAATGTACTTAGCCTGAAACTAATGAAACCACCATGTCTCAAGACTTGTAAGCTGCAATATATACATTTTTGTTTTTGGGGTCCGATAAACTAATTCCCTACTCATTTTTTTTAAAGAGTTTGGTTTTACATAAACTTAAGCTTAAAACTCCAGTAGAAATGTCCTTACTCTTTCCTTTTATAGGCTACAGTGGTGTTATTTTCCAAATAATATAGGGACATTGAGGAACAGAGAAAGGTCAGAATGGGGCCCTAAGCAACTTACCTCTTTTGACATTGATAAGTCAGGTGCACAGCTTTTGTGCTATCACCTCGGTTTACTGCAGGAGCCTGAAGTTTGTACCTGGGCCCCCTGGGCATTCACCAGGCCTTAGTCTGCTGCCTAGACTGCCTTGCAGATGACTTGGCTCTGTTTAGGAAGTGCATACAGTGAGTTCTCTGGTCTTGGCCACCTGATGTGTCAGAACAGCTCTTATTAAGCCTTCTTTTTTTCTGTTACATAGACAAAAATATTTCAGTTACATATAATGTTGACATTATCACACACAACTATCTACAGCTAAAACATACATGTCACATTTTGCACGCCATATATCAGGTCATCTTGATCTATATAAGACACTAGGCATGCTATCTTCCAGTACTGTGGTGACAAGTATTTTTCTGTATCTGTGAAAACAAAACCTAGCTGTGAAAATAAATATGTTCTGTCGTACGAAACCTACTCTTGAGCATTTGCACATATATTACAGAGCGGTAGTGAAGATGTTCTGGTATGACTTGAAGATGTACATTGTTTTCGACAGCTTGACACTTCTCCAAACATACTACAGAGAGTTGGAGAATGCCGCTTAGGCGTGCAGTCATTCTGTTGAATAAAATACAGAAAAGGTCTTCTCAAAGCAGCAGTTAGTCACAACACTCGCTTACATGAAACAAGAGCTACAGATAAGTTTTCTTCTTTATTTGTGAATATTTAAATTATTTTAGATTTTTTTTGGAAATAATAACAGCAAAAACAATAACATATGAAATAAGAAAGATGCTTAAAGTGTATTTGCAGTCAAATTTTATATGTGTGTGTGTGTGTGTGTGTGTGTGTGTTCCCATTCACAAAGCAAACCTAAAACAACTTTTAAAAACATTTCTTAATTTTCTAGCTGTTTGTTCAGAGGAGGATGATGCGTGGGTCACTCAGCTTACCCAGATTACCCCAATGGAGCTAGTAGCTGATTGGCTACCAACTCCGTTCGGCCCCAAATTTTCCAACCATCTCCTTCAATCAGCAGATCAAGGGACATCGGGCAAAAGGGTGCCGAAAGCAGCACCCACGGTAGGATTTTCGGTTGGTTCTGTTGGAACTGGCCGAAATTCGTGTGTACCAGACTTGAGGGAGAGTTTTTTGAAAGTGCATTTATATTCACTGCCTCGAGATCTCTTTTGTTAGGACAGACAGTCCTATTGATCTAGGTTACAAGTATTAATTAAATATGCCAGCACAGTACAGGCAGGGTTATTTATTTCAAACAAAATGCCCCCAGCCCCCTCAGTCCTAGAGTCCTAGAGTTTCCTGAAAAAAGGTGAGCTGCATTTTTTAATAAAGTGGAAATACACTTTAAAACTCGGTTTTATTGGATTGAATACAAGAATACACCACAATATCATGGCCTTTTTTCTGGTACCTCCACAGCAGAGGAATAAGTGGAGTGCTTTAGGCAAAACTGATTTTGCAGTGAAGTTACTGATTTAGCTGTTGCCGCGATTTTACCAAAACAGAAACTTTCAGTATTTCTTATTTAGCTAAGTATCTACTTAGATAAAACTGCTTAAAAAAAATCAACTTTGCCACCGCCATTGCAATTATTATGGTTGTGTAGACTTATTCCCGTACACTAAAGCAGCTGAGAGTTTCCCTTTATTTCTCCTGGCTGCCACCTTTCTAGTAGAAGTGATCAATTTTACACTGCTGGGAAGATGTTCCCTCCCGCCATGTGTCCAGGGTTACCTGTCCCTCCTGGGTGCCCAAGACTTCCATGATGTGTCATGATAAAGAGCAGCAGGAGACCTTTGAACTCAACTGTGGGCCTTTAGCTCTGCAATCAACAAAGCTCACACTCCCTGCTGAATGGAGAACTATACCTGTAACTAAGCAGGGGGTGTGTTATACCTATGCTTCCACATAGAGAGCAAGAGTCCTTCTCTACAGCATGATGGCAGGGGGCAAACTTTTCTACTCAATCTGTATCTGCTTAATATCTTACAAAACAAATTGTAAGACTTTAAACATTTTTTATTGTTATGCACCTGGAATGCATTGTGAAAGCTCAGTTGGGCTTAAAATAAAAGTACAAAGAGCAATATAGACAATTCGTATAATGAAATTGACAACGCTTGCTGAGTTTTAAATATGATATGTCTACTGTAAAACTGATAAGTCATTTTAAGCAATGGCATATCTAATATTCTCCAAGAGATGGTCTGGGATTAGGGGACAGTGAATTAACTAACATGAAAGAAACATGCTTCAGTATTTGCACAAAGTAATTTATTTGGCAGAATTAAATCATTAATTCTTGACAAAACAATTTAATACTATAATTGGAAGAAATTGCTAACTTTCGGCCTTTCTCAGAGCCCCTTTTCCGAGGACATCTTGCTAATATATCAAGAAATCAACTTAAAAAGTTTAATTGGGCTGAAAAGAAGAAGTTCAGTTTATGCCATTAAAAAATATATAGCCAGTATAAAAATTTTAAAGAAGTTGAAACAGAGTATTTTAACCAAACCACTTACATTGTACAAGAGGGTAATGAAACACACAGCATGCATCTTTTATATTAATGGCCTTTCTGATAACTCTAAAGTATATGAGTGAAAACATTATATCATACACACTGCTTTAGATTTACCAACCACTATTTAGTATGAACTCCTACTTGATTGCATATATACTGAATGGATTGCTTAGATAGGACCTTTCACTGGTAAATATAAAGTTGATTAGACAGTGATTGTATAATCTAATTTTAATGTGTAAAGCCAGGTAAAGCTACATACCTTGCTACAAATATCTAGACCTCAACGGTATGTGGACCAAAGTCAATCTGAATTCAGTATCCTTTCCAATTATATGATCAATCAGGGAGGCTGCCGTCCTGGAGGATATTGGGTAGGTATGTTCAGATACCAGTTCAGATACCAGTGCCGATACTTAGCATTTTCACCTGAACTACCAGGGTTGCAGCGGTTGCAGCTGGGACCTAGCTCTGGCGCTCCATCACTGTCCTGAAATCATTAGTCTGTATTGTTTTAGAAAAACTGACAATAAACAAAAATGTATCAGTACTTGTATCTGTGAGTACTTGGACAAGTATTAGTACTTGTACTTGAAAACAAGGTATAGGTGCATCCCAAATAAATATGTATAAAAAAAATATATACATTAAAACAGTGATGCACAAATCCCAGTAGCTCTGCATGCTCCTTAAAAATGAAATTTGCCTCCTAACTTTTGAATTTTTCTCTAGTCTAGTCTTGGAGCTGGAAATGTATCTGTACATGTACTTGGTATCTGAACATCCCTAGTATTGGGAACATTCCTTGTGGTACATGCAAAGAAAACAAAAAGACAGCGCCGTCCCCTAGTGTACTACCATTTATTAATTATAATATATGTAAAATACATCAAACTATTCACATACGCCAGGTAAATCACAGCATATACATCTCCAGCCCTGGAAAAGCAGGAATCTGCACAATGACAACCATGGTGAGGATCAACCACTAAAGGGGTTTGTGAAATCCTTAGCAGCTAATGTGTTTAGGAGGAGGTCCCCCCTTCCTCAGAGCTACATGCCTTGCTAGCTATAGAGCAAACCTCTTTAAAAGATGGCTTCATGAAATGGTTATTAGGGAGCAGGATGAGTGAAACAGTGGAGAGTACAAAAGCGTCCCACCTCTGTGTTTGTGTTTTGCCTATTGTCAACATTAACATTTAATATTTACATGTTGGACTATAGTTTCCCAGAAGTGTGCAAGTCTTGGCAAAGATGGTTTTGAGACTGATAGCTAGAGCATACAGTGGAAATGTCAGTTTGGTGGCATAGGGGAGTGCTTAATCAAATTGTCCTTTAATTGTGAAAATGTATATGCAACTGTTTTTCATTATATGCTTCCTTCTATTACCTCCAGCGTACCAATTACAGAGCTGTCCTGACCCCCGTCCATTCCGCAATGGGTTTGTAATTGGGAATGATTTTACAGTGGGACACACCATTTCTTTTGAGTGTTATCCTGGCTACTCACTGATTGGAGAATCTGCACTCACCTGTCTGCATGGAATCAGCCGAAACTGGAACCATCCAATACCTCGCTGTGATGGTACGTACTACTGTCAGTCATTTTCTTTTCAGAAGAGTGGGCAGCCATATATAGTATCACTTGTATTCTGCACACCCCAAAGAAATGTATTCCTTTCCATTTATTTGCATAATGAGAGTAAAGTAAAACTTTAGTGGTGAGGAGGTTAGCAGGAAGAACCAGTAAGAGCTGCAGGGAAAGCAGGAGATTGGCATGCCCAGACGTATCATATGTTCAGCAAATAGCAGGGAAACAATTATCAGGGAGAAAGCAGTGTTTAGCTTTGCAGGCAGCAGGAGAGGTTAGTATTTACACTGTTCTTTTTAGATATGCCTTTATTTGAGAACTTTAGTATAGTGACAGGGTCATTGAAATATATTTAGGTTTAAGTCATGCTCTAATTGGGTTAAGTGAAGTGGGTGTAGGTTTGGGAGATCTATTCATTGTAGTGCTTGGGTACAGGCACAAAGTTCTGAGCCTGAGGTACTTACCATCACTATAATTGCTTGTCCAGTATGTCACTAGTTGAGTACCTCCCTGTAGGTATATAAGGACAGTTTCAAGTAATCAGCCTCAGTATGCTCTGAGTAATTGTACCATGAGCATCACCATGTCTGAGTCATCGATTCATTGTGGAGAAAAGAAGAGGCAAAATCTCAAAGGGCGTCTTGTTTTTGCAAAATACACCAGTTGACATTGCACAAGTTTCGAGGTGTGCCTTAAGAGAAACTGGCTTTGAAGAAACAAACCATCCACCTTATAGTCCTGACCTGGCCCCCAGTTACTATTTCTTATTCAGTAATTTGAAGAAAGAGTTGAGGGCACAAAGATTTTAGGACGATGAGGAGATGAAAGCTGCGATAGAGAAGCATTTTAATAGTAAATATCAAACTTATTTTCTTAATGGTCTTAGGGCGCTTCAGACATTTTTTTTAAAAGCGTATTGAATTTTAGGGTGACTGTATAGAATTTTATTTTTTTCAGAATTTAATTTAGATTTTAAATAGGCTCAGAACTTTTCAGCCGCCCCTTATATGTGCCATTGCTTCATGGTTTCTCCCCTTGTGTTGATTGTTGCGGAAGCCAAATTCCTGGTTGACACTAATGGTAAAGACAAGAATTCAGGCTATTGTGAAATTGTTTAGGTGCTCAGAGTATACCTGTGACTGGAATGTAAATGTATATTGTAAATGGCTATTATAGAAACTTTGGATGTAGAAGTTATTGGTTGGATAGCTTGTTAATTTTTTATTGATGTCTGTGTCCCCTCTGGGGAAATTGAATTTGTCCTGGTAACTAATGTCACTGACAAAGGAAGTAAGAAAAATTATAAAGTTTTGAGTTGTCTCTGGAACATGAATAGAGGGAATATTTTTAAACAGCAAGGACAAGAATGCATTTCCCTATACTTTGGATAGTTTTTCTTTCACTTCTTGTGTTGCTGAGCTAGGAAGTGAAGGGAAACAAAATGGCTTTAAATATACTTTAATAATGCCCTGGTTTTGCCCTCTCCAGATAAAAATTATTTCTGTGCCATTGTTTGGGTAAGGCTACAGATACTATTTCATGCTAAATACATATACTTTTTAGAAGTGAAACTATTGCAAATCTGTGAGAAAGAGTCCATGGCAATGAGTAAGCAACATCCCAAACCCTGGTTACAAATTGATAACAATGGTTTTTGACTGTATTATACAGTACAATCTATCTATGAGAGAAAGAGTGGAGGAGAAATTAATTGAATAATATAATTGATATAATTTATTGGAATATACTTCCTATACAAAATTATAGCTAATGGATATTTACAATATTACACATTTCAAAGTAATTTACACCATCATCTCCTCCATTAGCTTTTCCATAGTTAACAGCACTTAAACAAAATATTTTAATGTTGTCCATGGCTTCTGTTGTTTAGCCTACAAAATGACCTTCTCAGACAATAAAATGGTTCAGGTCTATTTTATAAGAACGGCACAGGCCCCTGTGTACCCATGACAACCAACCACAACCAAAATGTCATCCTATGTAATCAGACTAGTAAGAAATGAATCAATGCTGTGGTCTTTTCCACTGTTGTATTTTGATTAGACGCCAAAATATTCCTTGTCAATTAAGATTTGTTTTATTTTCATGATGCAAACTGAATCATTTTTGTTGTATAAACTACCATTTTCATACTTTCTCTGTAGGTTGTAAGCATAACCAAAAGAAAATCTAGTTCAGCTGTGTCATTTGAGTTCTCAACATATCATATTACTTTTAGTCTGCATAAGCCACAGTGTTTAGGTCCCATAAAACCCACATTTTTCTAAGGATAAAACACACAGAGAAACAAAAATCCATAGCTTGAGTGCTCGTCTTTGCCTGCAGCTTAGCAACCTTGAAGTTTCAAGTATCTACACTTTACAGGCTCTTCAGCTTGTCTTTCATGCAATCCCACAGATTTATGTATTGACAGCAGTTCCTCTTACCATCCTTGTTTGTTGAACTATGTTGCAGCTCTCTGTGGAGGAAATATAACAGCAATGAACGGCACTGTTTACTCCCCTGGTTATCCTGATGAGTACCCAAACTTCCAAGACTGCCTCTGGCTGGTTAGAGTCCCTCCCGGAAATGGAATTTACATCAATTTCACAGTCCTTCAAACAGAACCGATTTACGACTTTATAACTGTATGGTAAGATCATTTATTCACTGATGATTTATTGCACTGATGGCTTAATGATCCAGGTATTTTATTTTCCCTTTGTTCGCTATTAGCCTGCATGTATTACACAGGTGCATTAATCAATGACAGTTAGAGAGTTAGAAAATGCATTCTTCAACTGCAGATTGTGTTTACTGATGTTTTATATAACATTTAAAGAATTTATGAATGAAATTCTGAAATTATATTTTGCTCTGCTTTCAAGACTGGGCAGGCTTCTTTATTACCTATTTAATTATTATTATATGTTGTATTACTTTAAAAGGCACCTAAAGTCATATGTTTAACTCATGCATTGCATTAGGAACATGGACCCCTTTATATCAGGGCAAGTTCTGCAACTCCCTCCCAGAGAAATACAGATGAATGCAAGGGTGACCTAAAATACAAGACACCTAAAATAAGCAGGATGAAAATCATCGGTCCTAGCACATGGACTTTCAGAGGCTAACATTAATGAAGTGTGGCATCTTTATTAGAGGAAACCGAAACACTCCCAGAATGAACTTGATCCTACTACCTGGATTTTCATTGGATGGCAGTTCCACTGCAGGCTAACATAACTGAAGTGTGGCACTCTTCATTAGAAGAAACCATAGTACCCCCAACTGTAACCCTGTACCCTGTAACTGACAGGCCCTATCACCTGGATGTTTAGTGGAGAGCAGTTCTGTTGCAACCTAAGATGAAAAAAGTGTGATGCTGTTCATTGGAGGGCACCAAAGACTCCCGTGCACATGTTCTTTTGGTCAGAGAACCATACCATATTATTCTCCTCACAAGCTAGCTTGTGTATATTTTTAAAACAGAATATTTTATGGTGTTCAAGGATTAAGATTTGACAATACACGGCCTTTAAAACAGATAATTAGGGTTTCTTGCAGGTTTATAGGCTAAATTGCAGTCTTGTCACACCCCCTTGCCTTTTTTGTGGCTGCACTGGGCTCAGAGAGTGGTGGCATTGGATCCAGGAAATAAACCCTTTTGTGTGTTTGCAGCCTCACTTTTGTGACCAATAATTATTTACTGAGCATAAATGAGTATCTTGGCACACATACAGTAGATATCAAGACAGCACAGAATAAACGTCACATTGTCATTCAGTTTATACATAATATCTTCATGCTTGGCAAGTATGTACCTTTAATATGTATACAAAATTGAATGTCATTTATCAAGTGGATCGCTTCAGGGTCAACTTTGCACAATTTTTTTCAAATCTCATTTTTATACCCCAACTATCACTTGTCATCTTCAAATGAAAAAAATCTCCTACAGCTATTCTTTTGTCATGCAGATCCCTTTCTCATACAATTTGCCACTTGTGGGCTCTTCAGATCTTTAAAAGCACTCCTAAAATGTAACTCTTCAGTGAAGTATAAAATCTGAAGCAAACACACTTCATTCAGAAGAGGATAATCTAAATCTAGTTAGACAATGCCTAAAGGTGGTCTCTTACTACCACTTGTATGCACTAAGAACAGGCAGGCTGTATGTTTACCACCCATACCAAGTGGCCTGGTCTGTTCAGAGACCTTTATACAAAGCAGAGAAGAAATGGTGCTATATAGCAACCTAAATATTTGAAAAAAAACCTGTACTGTGCAAGTATGAAGCCTGACTTTTCCTTGAAAGTAAAAATACTGGTTTCCCAGCTGTCATGTAATTAGTACTCAAGTATTTCTGTTCTGACTTTACTTCATGTTTTCTGATCTTCATACTTCTTTTGGGTCAGTGGCTCTTCTGACTCAAATAAGAGTCATATATACCACTGCCATTTTCAGAGGGAGGATAGCAATGGCAATCAATGTATTTCCTAGTACAGGCTCCTTTAAAGCTGAACTTCAGTCAACATCTAAATAAACAGAAGAAATACATAAAATGCAGCTGTTTTACTTACCAAAGATTATATATTTCTGTCACCCAGTACTGTAATTTACACAGCACTGCTGCTTAGTAGAGCCAGAAAGTTGACACCACTACAATTCCAGACTCTAGAAGGAATACAATAGTATCCTCTCTCCACCTCCAGCTTGCCGAGTGGACAATAAATGAGAAGTAAACTGATGACTTAAAAGAGAACTAATGTCAAAACTGTTTTTGGCTTAAGTCCTCTTTTGGGTCACAGGGGAACATTTACTAATGTACTCCTGTGACCCAAAGTCGGCATCCAGTGGGCTACTGCCCACTATTTGCTGACAGTACAGAGCCACGCTGCAGCTGGGAAAGAGCCTAACAATATTGTTAGGATCCGCCCCACTGCCTGAATGAAAGCTGGCTCTGCCTCCCCAGAACCAGAGCCAGCTATGCCCACCCCCTCCCCTGTCTGTCTTCCATTGAGTGCTGGAGGAACAGAGAAGGGGGAATCCCTGCATGGGGTGGTGACTGATGGTCACTGCTCTCTGCAGTGAGAAAACTGTGAGCTGAGTGATCAGCAGTTTCTGATTGCTCAGTTGTCAATCTGCAGTGTCATAAACCAGCTCTAATTATTGGTAAGAATATTTTTTTCCCTTTTACATATTCACATTGTTCCTTCTTTAACCGCTCTTCTAATTCTGCTTTCTTCTACTATCATCCTGTTGCTTGTGAGCACACTTATTATGTAACATACCATATTGGCTCCCTGTCCTTCCCACTCACTTCCAGTCTATTAGCCTAATATATTGCTTACTGTTGCTGATCCATTACTATTTCTTGGTCTATGACCTAACAAGGCCCACATCTTCTAAAGTATATTTCCATTTTGCAGCCAAATTGGGATAACACCTATTTTATATTTGTGACATGTTCTAATTTACCTAGCATACCTTAAAACAAATTAAAACTTGAGGCGCATGCGCGAGGCTGACCGTGATGGCCGCGGTTTAATCAGCTCCGCACCGGACTGGGCGCCTTACGGATCTTACGGCTGATATTAACTGCCCGAATCTACACAACCACAGCGGGACCTGAGAGAGGATCATTCGGGGCACCGATTGATGCTAAAATGGGTCGCACTTACCCGAAGAAGAAGCCCACGCTTAGCCAATCGACCTTACATGAGGCCTTGGGTAGGATGTCGCGCCGATCCGCGTACAGGGCACCCCCGCCGGACGAAGACACGAGGTCCTCAGTAGACACCATGGATCCAGTTGGTGACGATCCTATTAACCCCTTGCCTGACCAACAGATGGCTATGATGGCGCAATTCGAAACTACATTGCACAAAGCCCTGGACAAGATGTCCAAACAGATAACAACACAATTGGTCCGGGAGATCCGGGAAATCGGGAAGCGGACGACGGTGTTAGAATCCAGATGCAATGATATTACCACCATCATTGAGGGGCATGAAGACGAACTGGAACGCCTTCGCAACCTCAACCTGTCCCTGCATTCCCAGGTAGAGGACGCTAAGAACCGTGATCGCCGGACGAACCTGCGTATACGGTTAGCTAGAACCCTCGACTTGGCAGCCTTGTCTGAGTGATGGAAGGAATAGGCCTTGGCTCACTCACTGAGGTTTTGTCTTAAAGGGGTGGCCAGGGGACTCTATGCTGGGGCAGAGTGAACTTTCGGGTCATGTTTGAGGTTTACCCCCTCAATGTTCTTGCTTGGGTACTTGGATTTCCCCATATGCGATCTCTGATTAGGTATGGCACTGCGGAGTGTCATGGTTCCGGCCCCCGTACGGTATGTCCACGTCAACAATATGAGCCTGGAGTCGCGAGGTCGTTGCATGTGGGGAATCATTTGCTCCGCTTATGATGTTTTACATTTATTCTATTAGGGTTCTCCTGATATCGGAGCTCTGGTTTCAGTGACAGTTTACATATAATTTTGTGTGAGATGTTATGTGTTTCAATATTAGGTGCTGGCAGTTTATTCCTTCATGTTCTGGATGTGATCCGGGGGCCCAGCCCGGTTCATACGTGTTGCCTCACATCTCGTCACTCAGGCTTTGCTGTTTGCAGGGTCCTGACGGGCGACTACCTCGGTCCACGAGACTTGTGTGGACCTACTTGTGAAGGAGTTTTTTTTTTCACTTCTTCTCTCTAAAACCCCCTTCTCTCCCCTCAAATCCCCTTCCTACTCACTGCCCTCCCTCGCTACTTCCCTCCCTGGTTTTCTCCCTTTTTCCTCCCATCTTGCCCTACTACTTCTCTCCTGCTTCTGGGTGTCTAAGTGCGGGAATGTCCCTTACAATAGTGTCCCTAAATGTCCAAGGGCTCAATCAACCAAATAAACGAGTTAAAGCATTCCGACAATTTAAATCCCTGCATGCCGACATAATATGTCTGCAGGAAACTCACTTTAGACATGATTCCCCCCCTACATTCCTTCATTCCACGTTCCCCAACTTTTATCTGGCCTCGGCCCCAACGAAAACTAAGGGAGTCCTTATAGCTTTCAGGAGAACGCTGCCATTCGTTTGCCGGGACACCATCACGGATCCAGAGGGGAGATACATAATACTTGTGGGCTCGATTCATGATGTACCCATAACGGTGGTATCGTACTACGCTCCCAACTCTGGACAGCTGGAGTTCCTTGCGAACCTCCTAACAATAGTTGACGCTAAGCTGGAGGGAACCCTGATCATGTGTGGTGACTCGAATTTGCTGATACACCCTCATGCTGACCGTTTGGATCCGGGAGACCCTACTGTCCCTCCATCCTTACTGCCTACAGCCCGCAGATTCCGATTGCTGTTAGCGGAATATGGTCTGGCGGATGCCTGGAGGGAACTGCACCCGGCAAAGGAACGTTTTACTTTTTATCCTAATCCACACAACACGTTCTCCCGTATAGACCACATTTTTCTGCACACGTCCACACTCCCCTTTACACAATCGGCCGCGATTCTACCTATAGCATGGTCCGATCATGACTTAGTGAGCTTGACTTGTAAACTCTCCCTGCCTAGATCGCACAGGGTCACCTGGTCCATCAGAGACTCCCTGCTCACAGATCCTGAAGTGTACACCTCCATCAATGCGGACTTGACTGAATTTTTTCTTCTCAATGCTCCCTCGGTGGCGTCCTCAGGGGTGGTCTGGGAGGCACACAAAGCCACTATCAGGGGTAAACTGATGACATTGGCATCTAGCATTAGGAAAAAACGGGAGGAACGTATACGCCTCTTGGAACGGTCATTGGAACAAGCTTCTCGGGCTTTCCAGGGGACGCCATCGGGGGAGAATAGATCCCGCCTAGCGTCTGTTAAAACGGAGCTAAACTTGTGTTTGACACACAAGGCGGAGGCTCAGTTACGCTGGGTACAACACAAGTTTTACGTACAGGGAGACAAGCCAGGTAAGCTGTTGGCTGCCAGACTAAGAGATGCAGGCCCCAAACGTACCCCGATACAATTGCGAATAGGCAGGGATGTCTTGACTTCCCATCCGGTTAAGATTTTACAGACATTTCAAACTCACCTCCAAACCCTCTATAGTACTAAGGGACAATTCTCTCCACAGGCCTTGGAAACTTTCCTGACAAACATGAATCTTCCTACCCTAACTGAGGAAGCTAGATCAGATATTGATTCGGAAATTACACTTATGGAAGTCCAGAATGCCATTAAAACGCAAGCCACTGGGAAAAGGCCGGGCCCAGACGGCTACACGGCCCTTTACTATAAAAAGTTCTCAGATGTACTTGCCCCTCATTTGGTTAAATTTTTTAATGACTTACGAAAGGGCCTCCTACCACCTAGAGACTCTTTGGTCTCTGCCATCAGCATGATCCCAAAGCCCCATGCCGATCACTCCTCTTGGGAAAATTATAGGCCTATTTCTTTAATCAATATAGACATGAAGCTGCTTACTAAAATATTGGCTCTCAGGTTGAATTTATATGTTAATGCCCTGGTGTCCAGGGACCAGGTGGGCTTCATGCCTGGACGTCAAGCCGGAGATAACATACGTCGTATATCCTTGATACTCCACATTGCTCGCTCCAGGCATGTATCACTTATGTTACTGTCCCTGGACATCACTAAAGCTTTCGATTCCATTGACTGGGACTATCTAAGGGGGGTGCTTCGGCATTGGGGCTTTGGACAATCGTTCATGAGATGGATAGACTCCCTGTATTCTATTCCTTCAGCATACGTGCAGTATCAAGGATTCAGGTCGGGGACATTCCAGATTTCCAGGGGGACCAGGCAGGGATGCCCGCTCTCCCCTCTCCTGTTCGCCCTGGCGATCGAACACTTGGCCCAAGCTGTTCGCATACACAAAGATATCCACGGCATTGAAGTAGCGGGGTACCACCATAAAATAAGTCTATTCGCAGATGATGCACTTCTAATGATATCCGACCCCCTTAAGTCACTGTCCTCACTTTCGCCACTGCTACAACGATTTGGAAGCCTATCAGGCCTACAAATTAACCCAAGCAAAACGAAGGCGCTAAACGTATCCCTACCACCTGCTTTATGTGACTCCTTAAAGGCCTCCTTCCCCTATACATGGGTACAATCCGCGCTCTCCTACCTGGGGATACATTTAACCCCGACGTATGACACTTTATATACTGCTAATTACCCTAAATTATTTACTCACCTGACCTCGCTCCTGAACTCCTGGAACAAACACCGTATCTCATGGCTAGGAAGAATCACAGCGGTGAAAATGTCTCTTTTGCCGAAATTTTTATATTTTGCTAGAGTGTTACCTATCCCGGTCCCAGCATATAGGATGCGCCTACTCCAATGCCAGATCCTGAGATTCATTTGGTCCAGTTGTGTACGGTTTATTTCCTGCGACATGCATAACACAGATTGTAATGAGCTTAAGTCCTTCTTGATTTATAGGGCTGTATGTACAGCCTCGATTGCATTGTTTGTGATGTTTATGTACGCTGGAATTTCTTTATTTCTTTATTTTGGAAAACAATAAAAACTTTTGAACAAAAACAAATTAAAACTTGCTGCTTACATAAAACTTGGTCTTTCCAAAACGAAGCGAAACGGAAACTTACATGCCAGTTGTAAATTAGATTGTCTGCCATAACACTAATGATCTAGAAGCTTTGTATGCTAATGAGAGGAAGCTCAGTCTGTCCCTAGTCTTTCTATATGGACAGCCAGCGTTTCCCGCCACTCTGAAATTAGCTGTGACATCATCACTGTGCTGTAACTCCTGGTAAAAACTAGCACTGTCATCTGCATGTTATAGTGCACAATATGCATACTGTAAGTAAATGGGGGTGGTCTTGGGAACTCAAAGGGAAAAATGGAAAGCAACAATACATTTTTATCTCATTGTTACTTATACAACTACAACAGTAGTCATACCTAAACACCTCTGGGTCTTGATGCAAAATGTGAGCCAAGCCACTCAATATGTGCTTCTTTTTAGTAACAATTATTACACCAATATCACAGTATAAAACAATATAACAGTTTGTTATTAGGAGAGAATGTCTAACTAATTAGCCTATGATAAAGCTTTCTCTTTGCCTACTGAATGAGGTGAATCTGTGTTGACTTCAATTATTCAATCATGGTGAACACATTCCAGTTTTTAATTGACTTTGCAAATGATTGCATATTCTTTGCAAAGTATTTTTTCATTTACAATCATCTCATTTAATGACCTAAGGGAAAATTCACTTTTAAAGTGATCATCCTGCACTCCTTTAGTAAATCAGCTAAATCAAGTGGCCTGAATCACTGGCCCCTTTGGGAGTACAACAATAAATATTTTCCTTTAGAAACCCACCATGATGTCTCAGTCCTACTGCAGAATTGTTTGAAATCAATACAATTCATCATAGTAAGCAAGGCTTCTACATAAAGCATGTGATTGATGGGAAGAGCTACTGCAGAGCACATACTACTTTAGTCCTTGAGCAATAAGAATGGTTCAACCCTTTAAGAAATGCCATTCTCTGGGTTACTATAGAAATCACATCAATGCATTGTGCAATACACGTTGACCTTATCTTGGACTCGTTAGACTACCTGAACATACTGCTGCTTGTATTTCAGAATACTTTTTTAATAGCACATGTATCAATAAAAGTAAAATTATTGTTTTTTTAACACAGTTTTATCATTTGTTTTAGGGATGGGCCAGACCAGAGTTCTCCTCAAATTGGGCAGTTTAGTGGCAACACTGCTTTGGAATCTGTTTACAGCACATCAAATCAGGTCCTTATAAAGTTCCATAGTGACTTCACAACCAGTGGATTCTTTGTACTCAGCTATCATGGTGAGTGTGTTTGTGAGCCAATCAAGTGATTTTACACATTTCAACATAAACCCTGCATAACAGTACTTGCCCTATAATGCATATGGATTAGCTCCCTGTAATTAATTGCAGCAGCTTTTAAAACATTTTGGTTTGTCTAGTAAAATGTATAAGAATTGTTTTGTTTTTTAAAACATGATATCACACACCATTAAACAAGGTACATCAAAAATCAGTCCAATGTAAGCAGTCAGCACTGGTTACATTTTAATACTGCTGAAAACAGAAAGCAATTAATTCATTAGTAAAGCAAATTTGGTTTTGGCAACAGGTAATTTAATGGCAGTCCAACCAGAAACATTTTCACCTTCATCCTTGCTCTGTTTGTAATACTCACTACTTCTGCGTATGGGGACCATGTGGCTCATTCTTCTCCCTCTCACCTGACAGTGCTGTTCTAGTGCTTAAGTACCCAGATGACCAGAAACACAAAGCGCACTTCACCCCTGTCACGTATCCTTGTAATCCACATTCAGTGCACGGATGGCCCTCTTCTGGAGTGATAGCCTCAAAAACTGCAGAACCAGCACACAATGCTCTTCCAAAAATCAACCTTTATTCTACAGTACACACCAAATATACTTATCTATATGATGTGCACTACTTACTACTATCTAAAAATAATTCAGCTGCTGTGCAAAGAGTGTTAGTCCCACTTTCAGACAATCATGAACAAACTTTTAAAACTTTTCCATGAGCATTGGTGGATGGAGAAAAGGAGGTGAAGGGGAATACTGACGGTTTAACATCCCTGGGGATGGACTGTAAACTGAGTGCTTTAAGACCATTTCTATCTGAATGGTCCACCTCATACAGTGAGTGCAGTCTGTGGCCACACACAGATGGGAAGATTTAGCCTACACGCATCTGTAGAAAAACAACCGCTAATGCGTTTCTGCCTTACTCGACTTAGGCATCCAGTGCTCTCACATGGAGATGTGGAGATAGTCTTCAGCTATGGATAAGCCCACAAGCTCTATGGTTGCTTCCAGTGGTCAAACAGGGCATCAAGGGACCAATTGTTCAGCTGGTGGGGCCAGCCTGCATGGTCATACCACATGTTCAGGTGATTAATAGATTTTATTTCTTAGCAGCTCACCAGATCCAAAGTGGAGACTTATAATTTGCCAGAAAGGACCAGATTTGTCCAATCCATATTGGGCATATACTATATAGCCAAAGGTTTGTGGACCCCTGCCCATCACACCTCTATGAACATTTAATTTTGGACATTCAACTCCAAAACTATACGCATTAATTCGGAGTTGCCCCTCCCGCTTGTGGCTATTACAGTCTCCACTTCTCTGGGATTTTCACAAGTTTTTGGAGTGCGTTAATGGAAATTTGTACCTATTCAACCCATGCTAACAGCTGGAATTCTAATTCAGCCCAAAGTTATTCAGTAGTGTTGAGCTCAGGGTTCTGTGCAGGCCACTCAAGTTCCTCTGTACCAAACTTGTCAAATGATGTCTGTGTAGAAGAGCACAATCATGCTGGAACATAAAAGGGCTTTCCCAAAACTGTGAGAATGCTGTGGAAGTACACAATTGCCTCAAATGGCTTTGCAAGCTGTAGCATTAACAGTAACCTTCACTGCAAACACCCGAACTTAATAATTTGGAGGGGCATCCACATATTTTTTGTAATACAGTAGGTGTGATGGTTGGGTATCCACAACATTTGGCCATATAGTCTGTCTGATCTGTTCTGGCAAGTTGTTATTCTCTGACTTTTCTGATTTATTTACATGGAGATTTAGCCAGTCTGCAGAGAATTATGCAATTCATGAATCCTTGCAGTCAGAATCCATACATGTAATGATGTTTAGTATACCAGATGAAACAGCATGAGCTTGTGCAAGAGAATTTGAAATACTGTCACCAGGAAGGATGCATTATCCATTCCACAAGATATGCTTAATTTAAAGATTAGCACACTCATCTCTATGCCAACACACCTTAACATCATTGCACATAATAGAAATCCTGTTTTATCTTACCAGACCTCATAAACTATTATTTATTAAAGACATGGATCAGTTATATATGCGCATTTAATTTTAGGCTCTACGCTATTCTTTCAGTTGTGTTAGAGTCTTTTATTTAACCTTGGCTATATTTATGTCCTGTATTAAAGTTCTATTCCCCATGCTGCCTAAAGCCTCAGGTTCACTGAAACATCTTCATGATGATAACCCGTCTTGACCTTGGTAGAATTGTAATTTTTAGTGATGTCTGCTTCCTATTACTTGCGGGTTTAGAGATAAGTTGCTAATAGCTCCCACTAATTCCCAAAGCACATACACTACATCTGCTGTATACAGATTTGGCGTGGGTGAGGGTGGGGGTGGGAAGGAGGTTAAAGTAGTACTGGTCAAAGCTGAGGTTATCTTATAGTCCACTATAAACAAGAAAAAGAAAGGTATTTCAAAATAAAAGAAGATCAAATATAAAAGCATGTTTTGATTGATTAATGCCAACACATCTAACTGATGTTCATTGAAATCATGATAATACTTGTCCCTTACAACTATAACCCCCCACTGTAGGTGTTTCTATTTTGAACTGTACTGTCAGAATTTCATTAAAATGAATGACCCATCTAAAAAGTTTTTTTTTTTTTTCTTAAAGCAAAACTTTAACAAAAAAAAAATACCAGCCATTACTCACTGACACCTTGGTGATTATTGAACCATCCTTTGCAGTGCAATGGACATTGTTTTCTATATTTTAGTTTTGTTAATATCAAAGAAACATTTAAGGGACACTCAAAGCTTTTACATTCCACAACAAATTATATATATGGTATAACGCTGTGCTGTGGTTGTGGGTGAGCATCCCCAGACCACAGTTGCTTTTGTCAGCTGCTAGAGATGTCAGTGGTATAGGTCTATTTGCGTTCTTTATTTAATAAATCAGAGCATCCACTAAGAATATGAGAGGCTTTTTCATGTTGTATACCTAGGCAACATTAAAGCAAATGATCACTGTAAATTGCACTTGTATAGCTGTTTAATTGTTGCCACATGCCCATGAAACAGTTGGCATTCTTGATTGTTTGTTGTTTTTAGGGTAGTAAGCTTAAAGTGAAATTAAAGTTCATTTTTTTTAGCTATTTGAAATGATGATTGAATCACTAACAATTGATGCTGCCCCTTGGTGCTTAGATGTTTTAGTTTCCTGCAGCTAGTCCCCCACGCACTGGCCCTGATGACCTGTTTTAGGGTGGCTTCTTTTCCTTGCAAGGTTCTATGAAGTTGTCCGCCTGTGTGTTCCAGCAATCTGTGTAGGTCTTCACAACCACACAGGCACAGCAAGGCAAGCCAGTCCTCAGTTCTTTGTTCCCACCTCCTTCCTCTCCCCTTTTTCAAGCTAGTAGATGGGCATCTGCTGGAGACTGTGCTGTCCCTTGTGATCTTGTACTCAACAAGTTCAGAGAAGTGGAGTGGAGCAAATTGCAGTGATATTGGCCAAACAAGTCTAGTGCCACCCAAGCTCAAACTCTACAGTCACTTTAGGTGTACCTCCCAACTTACCTGTGCTCAGTCCTGCCCCATGGAATGTTCAACATACAGGTGAAACTCGAATAATTAGAATATCGTGCAAAGTTCATTTATTTCACTAATGCAACTTAAAAGGTGAAACTAATATATGAGAGACTCATTACATGCAAAGCAAGATAATTCAAGCCGTGATTTGTCATAATTGTGATGATTATGGCTTACAGCTCATGAAAACCCCAGGAACCCCAAATCCACAACCTCAAAAAAGTAGATTATTACATGCAATCAATAAAACAAGGATTGTACATAGAACAATATCGGACCTCTGAAAAGTACAAGCATGCATATGTACTCAGTACTTGGTTTGGGCCCCTTTTGCAGCACTTACTGCAATTACTTTTGCATGATATTCTAATTATTCGAGTTTCACCTGTATGTGTTGCTGGATCGAAGACATTAGAGATTTTCCAATGTATAGAGGATGAGCAGGAAGCTGCGGCTCATGGTGCCCACAAAGGGCACCATCAGATAAGGTTCTCATGCTACAGATGGTTCTGCATTGGGTATACTAACCTTAAAGTGCTAGCCAAACGTTTTCTTTTTCTTTTTCGTTTTGGTAGATATTTAAAACCTATATATTTGCTTTTTGTTGTCTGTGGTCTTTTAAGGATATTTCTATCTACTTCCAGTCTTGAGGACACAACAAGAAGTGAGTGTAAATCTCTCCAAAATAACCAATAGAAGCAAACATTATCCCTAATTTGTCTTAACCTCAGTTGATTTTTCCAGCAAAGACTAGCAAACCTCAGTTCATTTTGACAGCTAGTTGGAGAAATAGTAGGTTAAAGTCCGGCCTGGCCTAAGAAATCAGCAAATTAAACAGTTGCTGAAGACCGTTGTGTCTCCTGTTCCAGTTCAAGTTTGGCAGAACCAGCCCTGATGAAGGGCGACCCATGCAGCCACCAAATAATATTGGCTCACCTTGCTGCATACAAACAAATCTTATTCTGGACCAGTGGAGTAGTGCTTTCATCACTCTCCTTTCACAATTCCACAGGGATTAAAGTGCTGACTACCGATCTCCATTTACCTCCCATCACAGATTTCAGTACACCAAGTAGTTCAGCGCTTCTCATCTACACCATTAGAAAATGCAAAACAGACATTCTAGGTCTGCTTTGTATGTAAAAATTTTAATAATGCGCTCAGAGTTTTCCTTGTAAGCAAGCAGTAATGTTTTTATATACAATTAAATGCATTATTAGTAGAGATTCTTAATTAGGTCATAATTAATTAGTTACAAGTAATGCTGATCTCTAAACTGCATTATATAACAAATTGTACCATTTTACTGTTTTAATTAAACAGCCGATAACCTTTTTCTTACACAGCCAACTTGTGCATTTGTTACATAATTGTCAAGGACCTTTGTTCTGTCACAGTGAGATCCTATGTGATT